CTAAACTTTATTGTCCTACCAGTGGCAGAGCGGTTAAGACCACTGAATACTAAAAGTTCGGCCCGGGTTTGATCCTAGACGAGCGGGATTCTGTATGTATAATAATATGTATTTATCTGTATGTATCATGAGTAGGCGTCAATTTCCTTTATAGAATTCTTCATAGAGGTGTCCTTCTCTAGGCAGTTCGCCTCGTAGGCTTTGTCCTATTAAAAAAATGTAATCATCCAAATGTTATTGGTACGTGCTAAATGACTTACCACAGATCTATTAAAGATTTACCTCATTATATGACTTTTAAACAATGGGGGAGGGGGTGAAAGGTTTTTTCCTTAAATTTTGTTTCATAGTCATTTGTCATAGCTATTATCACAACGAAGACTTTTAATTTGCACATTACAAACTATCTTAAAAATTTAATATATATGTATCATAAATTTATTAATTATAAAGTGATATTCATTTGTTTTGTTTGCATTGTTACAAGATAAATATAAATCGCTGTAAGTACTGTATTTAAATACAAGGTAAACAGATCGCCATAATATGGCTGTTGTTAAATACAAAGTAACACGTGTAAAAAAATGCACTAGAACTTAAGCCAGCTTAACAGTTCTGTATCATACTTTAAAGTTCAGTATTGCATTAATAAATAGAATTTCATACTTAAAACTGAACACTAAACTTATATTATTGTGCTTAAGTACAAAGTAAAAAAAAACTAGCTTTAGTTATTATGAGGGACGAAAGACAACCGTGTTTCATGTTCAGTTCCTCTTTTAAAAATAAAATTTAAATAAATAAATTTAAAAATCTGAAAGGTTTCATACTTTAAAGGTAGCACAAAAAGGTTTGTAAGGGTTTTTAATCTCTTCCTAAACTCACCGTCTACCAGTTTTCTATTACATTCACTCCTACTAACCTTTTTTTTTTTTTTTTTTTTTTTTTTTTTTTGTGTGTGTGTGTGTGGTGTATGCGTCTTTTTAGCTTTATTATTAAGCATAATTTTCTTCGCCATACACAAATCGAAAGCAAAATTATAAACATTTTAAAAGCAGCACAGCACTGTACGTTTAGAATTTCCGATGCAGCTTTAAGTGTTGTACATTTTACTGTTTTTTTTTTTTTTTTTTTTTTCTCTCAGTCTTTTCTCAGTTTATCCTATCAGTGTTCAGTTTTCTTACTAAGATTACTTACTCTTAATAATTATAAATTTTATAAAATAATTATAAAATTTAAAATCTTCATGCAATAAAAGCAAATTTAATGACTGAGTTTTTAAAAATGGGCATACGCATATTAAGAAAATTCAACTGGCATTTAATAAATCAAGTACTTTATTAAAATTCTTGAAGACGTGATTTTCTTAGTATAATTTGATAAAAATATTTCAAAAACTGCTCAAATATTCAGCATTTACCCAGAATCATTTTTGAATCAAAATAGATACTGAAAGGAGAACACTATTTCAAGAACTAATACGAATAAACACCAACATGAAACGCTAAATTCTGTCTCAAAAACTAAAAATGTAGCACTCAGGACTACAAGATGACATTAGTGATTAAGATTCACTGAAATTCTTTGAAAACGTTGCTTTCTTATTTTAATAAAGCTTTTATTGGACATCAGAAAAATTACAATTTTCACATCTGAGTTGAAGTGTTTAACGGCATTTAAATTAAGATTTGAAAATTCGATTGAAGAAAGCGCATTGAGTTTTCATATTTCGTTTCTTTTACAGATTTCGTGAGTTTCAAGGATTCAAATATCAAATCCTAAATTTAAGAAATAATTATTCTTGTTTAAAACTTATAAACCAAGTACAAAAAACGTGAATGTTTTTATGACGAAACTTAGACGTCATTGACAATATGACAACACCATGTATACAGGAAATAAACTCGCTTTTATCTGATGTTTCATTTTTTCATTTTAAACATTTATCTTTTAAAATATTTGGAAAGAATTAGAAACAGGACCACCAGACAGCAGACTGAACGTGTTTTTCCATCTTAATTGCTTTTAAACAGGCGATTAAAGACTAGTTTGAACTACTGAGATTATTGAACACGGAAATAAGGCACAGCAGCATGAAATGAAAGTGGCTTAGAATGATAAATAAAATGAAAAGGATGACATGCTTTTCCTTTCTGTGTCACTTTCTGTGCCTTCGACTGGGGATATAAACAAAATCTTTTTAGAACCGATAGGTTGGTAAGTTTTAACTTTAACAAAAAATATTTTTCTTCTCACTCAACAAGGAGAAATTAGGTTCAGATCTTTATAACGTTTTAAGTTGTTTTTAAAAGCATACCACTTAATTTGCAATTTTATCTCAAATTCAGCATCTGTTGAACGAGGAGCTGCAATGCTTTTCATACTGCCAATCGTTAAGGAAAGATACTAGAGCAGCGAAATTTCACATAACATAATCTTGTATCAAAATAGAGCAGCTCAAAAATGCGAAACTTATAGAATTTTAAAAGTAAGGTCATCTTTCCAAATTTGATAGCAAGTAACTGAGTAACCGAGCAAAAAAAAAAAAAAAAAAAAAAAAAAAAGAGAGAGAGACAGTCTCGCGCGATGGCTATAAAAGTGTTTTTCACCGTACAGTTTTGTTTGCCATTACTCGCTTTGAAATCGTTGAGTTTGTTAATCAAAAATTCGTTAAAGGTTTTACGAAATATGAAGTAGACGATAAAATAAATTCGAAATTCAAAATTCGGGCTTTCTATTGCCCAGGGTGGAAGGCTATGTTATTCAAAATTTGATAGTTCTAGGCACGGTTGTTTTTTCACAGTGCGATAAGCATACATACATTCATGCAGATTCTTCACTATTTAATTTCTTTAAATATAATACAGTGCTATAATATTTTTTGGCAACAATTTGAGAAGTAACACAACGCTTTTAGTGATTCGACGCAAAATGCCGTTTCTAGACTAATATTCCCTCTTGGCTAACGTCCCTTTGGGCTAAAAAAAATCGTTAAACTTTCTACGTATTCCGAGACATAAATTGTGTCTGATTATAATCATTTTAAGCTTTAGAATTGGCTGTTCAAGGTCAGTTTTTCCCTTCTGGCTTGCACTATAATCAAAGTAACTAACCTCACCTGCGGAAGATAGCCGAGTCCCCTAATTTTTTCTCCCGACTCTATTTCGTTTAGCTTGTTTCTATAATTTCATAAACTAAAATTAGTGAGTAGAATGTTGAATTATTCTGGAAAACTAAAATCATTTTTGATCATCAGCATTAATTTTTTTTCCCCCGAAGAAAAAGAGCAACCCCAAATTTTATTCTTTTAATTATCTAGGAATATTTATTTATAAGTTAAACAGTAAAAGTTTCGGAAAACAAAATGAAAAGAAATAATTGAGAGAACTAGATTTTTACAAGTTAGCAAATACAGCTCAATTTTATAAATAAAGTTTTAGTAGGATGAAATTATTTTATAAACTAAAGTATTTATTTTTTTTTTTTTTTAATTCTTGCAATTTGAAAACTGTAATTTACAGAGTCTAATACTTCGAAGAAGTATTTATCATTAGTTCGTACTTGAACTTGAATCGTTCAATTCCTTGGTTGTTATAGTAACTCCCATCAAAACCGAAAAATGAGGAAATTTATGACCTATATGTAAGTAATTGTCATTCGTATTTTTATACTAAAAGACTTAGTAGTGCAGAGATGATTCCCTTTTAATGACAAATGCCTTCTATGCCTTTCTAACGCTTTCCTGTTTTTTTATTAATAAATTTAAGATTGAACTTGAAGGTTTTTAATTATTTAAGTACAGGATAAAAAAAGGGCAAATTAAATCTATAAATAAATAACAAAAATTAAGTGTATTCTAAAGCTAATTGTATTTTTTTTCCGCAACTCGCCTTATTACTAGTATGCTTAATTTTAATTCGTTGGCTATGTATTATAAAAAGTCCTTTTAATTAATAAAATATATTGAAGCACCGTTTGTACATATCTCAACAGTTCGCTCTAAAAAGAGCCAGCCGTATACAAATAAATAAAATAAAATAAAATAAAAACGCGTATAATCGAAATTTCAGCTTAAAACTGTGAACAGTTAAAACTGTGAACAGAATTATGATACAACTTCTAAACTAAAATTACACTATTGAGGCTGTATAAATTTAATTTGATCACACTGCTTTTAGTTTATTTTTATTCATATGACTTCTTTGAGGTTTTTTGAAATACTTTTGAAAAAGTTATTATATTTCCTTTTTGAAGTCATAAAATTGAATATAATCAAATTATAAAATAGTTAATTTAAAAACGAGATAGAATGTAATTTGATTATAATTGCTCGCTTCGAATAAACACATTTCTCATCAGAAAAATTTGATACATTCCCACATAGATGCAAAATTTAATTTTTCCTCTCGAAAAATACCTTGAAGTTTCATCCCATGTACCGTTTGGTTTTGAGCTCCACTTATAGCAATAACAAGAAAGCAAATAGCAAACAACAACCTATCATGAGCTGTTACCAAATGATACACTGTTTACCAAATGGTGCAGGAATGAAATATAATCGCCTTCAGCAAACTCGTCTGGTCAGCAGACTCCAGTATGTAAGCTATCCATCCAAGTGACTTCCTTTCCTTGCCAGCCAGATTTGAGCATGTGTTCAATATGAGGTATCGCATGTCTTCATTTCTCTCCTCGTATTCTAATGTAAAACTCCCAAATGCTACCGAAACAAAGAATTAACTTTTTGAATAGATTATTTGAACTGTGAGAAAAAAAAAATAGCGATAAATTAATGAGGGACGTAAAAGCGAGAAATGTATAAACGACGTTTCACTGTATAAGTTTTTTTTTTTTTTTTTTTTTTTTTTATTTCATGTAAGTAATTATTGACAGGCTGCTGTGTAATATATCAATACTCATTTGGAAAATTTAATATGCATTTACTCCTATAATATGTGACATAAAAAATATGCATAAAATATTAATTACTTTCTTATTTTTAGGTTGTTTGCTTACTATCCTGCGGCAACAAAAAGGAAAATTGAAAACCCATGCTTAGGATAGCATCGTAGTTTGTTTTTCTTGTAAGTACTTTACCATTTGCAATTTTAGAAATTTGTCTACTAAATTTCTTTTTTTTTTTAATTGCCGTTAAGTATTCATTTTACCTTGATTTATTTACCTCTACACGTTTAAAATATTCACATGATGAACAAGTCAATATATTAAAAATTTTTAAAGATATGAGCTTATAGAGTTAAACTTCGACAGAATAATGAAAACTCTTCGGAGCTTGAAAAGAGTGAAAATTATTATGATGATTAACTACAGTGTCAAAAGCTAGGTTATAGTTCTATATATATATTCTTTCTTTACGGCGGGCACTAGCCATTTTTAGGCTTTCGCCACTACTAAAACCGGGAGCGGTGGTGATTTTATTATGGAGGCACCTCATAGGCGACCACCATTACCTCCTATAAAGGAACAGACAAATTACATCCATGCCTTCTCCGGGATTATATATCTATATATATAGTATAAATTAATAGCATTTAATTAAATTTCTTTAATTTTTTTCATCCGTTTATATATATAAACAAATATGTATATATATTAATGTGGAAGAAAACGTTGCAAAATTTACTTTATTTATTTATAAAATATTTCTTAGCCTTTATATAAATAATTGATTAATTATAGGATATAAAGCAAAAAATTGGAAAGAAATCCTAAATTAAACAACACTTATGAATGCACATACAGGCATATGCAGGTTCTTTTTACAATTTCGAAGCTGAGGAGGTAAAGTTAATTTTCATTTTACCATTTCTTGTCTTTTATACAATCCTCTTAACTTCCAGCTTTAATTTTTGCCTGTTTTTTGAAAAATGTATTTTTATTATCCAGTTTCTAGAATTTCTACGCATTGTGTTGGAACAATTATATTTTTAGCTTTTGTCGTTTATTTTGAAAATTCAATTTATTTTATAGATTGCATTTTGACTTTTACATTTCACTTTGGGTTTCAACAATGTTTCTTTTTTTTCTAGTACCCCATATCTTGTTCCTATGTTTTGGTTTGGCTTATTGACTATTTTCCTTCTTAAATCTAAATTGAAATTAAATTTTTGAAAATTTAGTTACCTTTAGCTTCTTACTTTTTATTATTATTATTATTATTATTATTATTATTTATTATTTATTATTATTATTTCCGCGTTTATAAAGGTTAGGCAATTTTGCCTTTTCTGTAATTTTGGCTTTCCCAATTGTCTTAGTCTTAGCAATTTGTATATACTATCTCTTTGGTATTCCAAGTTACTACTTAAAAAAAAATTAAATCAAAAACATTGATGATTACATTTAAAAAAATTTTTAAATTGGTAATACTACTCTAAATTTTGTATAAATATATTCTCATTTAATTTAAAATTTAAAAACGAGTTTATTCGATTTATTTCTTCTACACGTCATCCAAATAAAATTCAGAAACGTGGTTCTGTGTTTAATTCTTTCTGCTGCTTCTTTACAAGACTAAAGAATTATCAATTATTGTTCATTAGTTATTAATTTTTATTTAATGATTATTGATTTAGTTTTCTTATTTTACTTTTATTTCAGTTTCGTTTTTAATGTTTTTTTCTTTCAGTTCCTTTTATTTTGTACCTTTCTGTTGGACAGTTTATCACTCTTATAGTACAGTTCAATATCTCTCGCTCTACTGGGCCGACTGACGAAATTCAAATTCGAAAACGCGACTTAGGATATATATTAGATTTATACATATATTAGATTTATATATATTATCGTCATTTCGTCATTAAATTTGAAAACGCGCCAATATGTAAATTCATGTATATCTTAGAAAATTTTAAATAAAAACTCTAATTTTTTGCAGGTGTGCCTAAAAATACACCTACTTTAAGATGATGTTAAAAATTTTATAGGTTTATAATACAAAAATTTTTTTAGAAAAAGCTATAAAAATATTTGAAAATACAAATTTTAAAAATAAATTATAAAAAAATGTGTGAATTATATTTGGATTAAGCCTAAATTCCGAAACCTGAAAGAAGGACTCATGTCAGTTTAATAAAAAATCTGATGTGTACACCACATGAGTTCTTTGTACGGAATATTAAATTATATGCATTTTTTCTTGCATTTTATTTAAACTTATCAGATTGAATTAAACCTACATCGCCGACAGCGCATAAACCACAATAGAATAAATGCATTCTTTAAAATTCACTTTGTTTCCCATAGCGACACTCTGGCGCTAGGTTTACTTAACAGTATTATATTTCATTCATATTATAACTCAGAATGCACAAAATGTATATCATATAAAGAATTATCTAATCGTTGCCACATGTTCTATTCAAATACTATAGAACTATGTATAAAAAGCTAGAACTATGTATAAAAGAAATTAAGCAAACAAAACAAAAAAGAAACAGTTTTTCACAGACGATTGAGTATTTCTCATTTAATTAATTCAGTTCTCACTTCGCGAGAAGGCAAAAATACATAAAAACTCAAAATATCTATATTAAAAATTACGAAGTAAATCTCAAACGCTTATTCCTCGAAAAAATTCCAGAAAGAATTAAGCATGATTTAATTGGCAATAATAAATGAATGTGTTATCTTTGTTATTGCGAAGCTAAGTTTCTCTAGATTGGCAACAAATCCACTAGTCTCCTGTTTCAAATGTAAACATCAATGGCCGCCATTAAAAACAGGCTTAGCGGCAATTAAACAACTTTAAAATTGCTGATAATTCTAAACATATTGCACACAGATTTACTAAAGTCATAAAATCCATAACCGGAAGATAAAAACAACATAATTCAATCATTTTTAAAGCAAAAAAATGTGCAATTTACAAACATATAAGAGTAAAGAAACTGAGATCACTGAGCCGGGTGCAGAGTGGATATATATATAAATATATTTATATACGTTTGGTGCGGCCGATTGCAACCAAAATACGAGGTGCACATCTACACTTATAGCAGTCATATATACAAAATTTCAACGTTCTGAGGCTACTCGTTTTTGAGTTATGCGAGATCCGTACGTACGTACATACATACGTTCGTACAGACGCCACGAAAAATTCTCATCAGAATTAATTTTAAAGCAGTTTTATAATTTTTTGAGGGAAAAGAGTATTTTTTTTTTCTGTCCTTACGTACAGATATCACGCAAAAACATCGTTAAATTGCATTCGATAGCGGTCAAAATGGATATTTTCGTCGAAATGTGCTGCCTGAAACTTTCGCGATTACAATACTTTCTTTTTACTTCGTACAAGGAAGTAAAAAAGAGCTATTAATATATCAAATTCGATGAACATTGAGGCGATAAAATTTTGAGAGCTAAATCTTTAAAAACTACTTGTGCGATTTTTACTAACCTTGGCCGTTTGGCATAATTTGAGTCGTAGAATCGAAATATGGAAAAAAATTGGCATATCATTTGAGAAAAGATATGATTTTGTGTCAAAATACCTATGTTACAGCAATGTAACTCTAATACATATCCTAAGTCGCGCTTTCGAGACATGAAAAACGCAAGTCGAATTTCGTCAATTGGCCCGATAGAACAGGAGATATAGAATTGTCCCTTTTTTTTTTTTTTTTTAAACATAGTAATTCTCTATTGAATAAGATAAAACGCATTGCCTTGATTGCCTTGCCAAATTTTCACTTAAATTAAAACGCCAAAACTGTTGCATAGGGGGAAAAAATCTAAACACACTATTTTGTAGAGCACACAATTCTCTATCGAATAACGTAAAACGAATTGCCAAAACATTATATTTTTCTTGAAAAATTTTCACTAAAATTAAAACGCAAGATGGCCAACATAATACTTTTGTTTATTTATAAGCACGTAGATCGTGTATATTGTAAAAGAATAAAATAGTGATTAATTCCGCAATGATGCACTACAGAAAAATTTCTTAAAAAGAAAGAAAAGAAAATCTGAAATGTTTCAAATTTTAAATTACATCCAAAGGGGCGTTTTTGTAACGTTTTGTGTGTTACGTGTATTTATTAAATATCATGTTCTTTGCACTTAAACCCTCAAATTTAATTCAATAGCAATTTCGCAAAATAGTTCTAAAATGAGCATATCTTTAGAATTTCCGATACACAGTTCGACGCACTGGAGAGATAAAAAGGGGTTTTTTTTTCCCATAGAGTTTTGCCATTGCTCGCTTTTAAATCGTTGAAGTTGTTAATCAAAAATTCGTTAAAGTTTTACAAAATATGAAATCGATCATAAAACAAATTCCAAATTTCAAATTTGAGATTTCAGATGCCCATATTCACAGTAGAATTACGTCATTCAAAATTAGATGTCTCTAGATACCGTTGTTTTATCACAATGCGAGAAATATGCATACATTTATGCAAATTTTTCATTATTTAATTTCTTCAAATATAATGCAGGACTCTATTTGGTGGCAACAGTTTGAAAAGTGACATTTATAGGAGTCCGACGCAAAATGCCAAAACGAAAGTGATAGTCCTTCGGGACTCAAATCCCTTTGGACTAATAAACATGTTACTATTTATCAGAATAGAAATATGAAATAACAAATTAAACAGTCTCTTTTAATGGGTTACTCTGTATGAAAAGTTAAAATTTTATCTGACATGTTCCTTAATAATTAATAGCTATTTATTTTCTTCGCTTAGAACTGCGCATGTTATCCACTGTACAGCATCAGTTGCTTGGCGTAATAAAAAGCCTCTACCCCGGGTTCAATTGACGGAGCTTGAGCGTCTGCTTTAAAACACTGTTTCATCCATATCCCCCTTCTCCTTCCCCTCGCCGTTCGTTTCCTATCGCCTACCAAATGCGATGCTGAAGAATTGCGAGCATGATTGCGGTTTTCTTGCATCGGCAAGAGGAAGAGGTTGCTATTCTCTCCCGCTCGTCTCCGCATATCCACACACACACCGTGAGAAAATCTCGATTCAGCGGAGAGGAAAGCACTCTTTTCCTCTAATGGTGTAGAGGAGGGAGGGGAACTTATAGTCTGATGCGGGGGAAGCGTTCGGATGTC